TCAGGTGGCTCTGTCGCTTCACAGTTTCTCCTCTCACCTCTTATTGCAGGGAATGGGGTGTGCAACTGCGGCAACTGTGACTGCTGGGATGGCTGGACGGGGAACGCCTGTGAGATCTGGGTGGGAACTGAATACTAACACCACAGAACATTTCAGTAGCTATACAAGAGACTGTGCTGTCAGAAAAGGTGTGAAACAGCAAAGGGAGGAGAGAAATTGAGAGAGTGATGAAGAGGAGGATAAAAAAGAAGCCAACCAAACTGGGATGTAATTCTTCATTCAGATTTCTGCATATCACTTGTATAACAGCATTCATTGTACTGGTTACAAATAATCTTTATTAAAACTATGTTTTTTTTTGTATGCAAGAAAATAACTTTTGAAGCAAAAATATGTTTTTTCTCTTTAGAAGACATTACCATGTAACCCTTTATATGTTTCCATTACAACTATATGTATGAAAATTGTTTATATAAGAATGCTTACATATTCCAGAAAGCTACACATAATAAGATGCAGGTACATAAACAGAATCCAAACATTGAAAAAAAAAGGATAAATGTTTTATTATTAATATCATTTTCTGAATACATAGCCTGTGTGTGTGTGCTGATGATGATGATCATCTGTGTGTTGATGATAATTTCCATTTGGGGTATTCTCACCAGTGGTGTGTTTTCTGGGTTAAAAGTGGACTCAAAGAAACCCTGCACCCAAGTCAAGATCGTCACAGATCACATCGTTTGAGCGTTTTATTTATTGTGCCTGACACAACATCTTTGCAGGGTGTTAGTAGGAAAACAATGAAAATACCATAATCATACGTGGGTATAAATCTGTTATAACATGACATACATATCTCCAAGTGGCACACTTGCAATTGTATATATTTCAATATAAATAATTTGAATAGTGCCTATTATCGCTGAAAACTATCACAACCATCATAATCTTCTACAAGATTAATCAATGCATGGCAATTCCCCCTTACTCGTGAACGCCATGTCATGAAAATGTTTAAATGTCGCGGTCGAAAAAAGAACAAAAAACGCACATAGCTCTATAATGCCATGCTGGGTATTCATGTAACTTCAGAAGGTGGTTTCAGGGGACATGAGTTGCATTGACTGGAGAGCCCAAACTCTACCTGACAACATGATTGATAGGAAGCAGTAAAGAAACATGTAATGTAAATAATTCTACTTTGGCCTTTTCATGCTTTTTAGTACTAGCCAACCTTTCGTTTTATTTATCCCATCAAAATGACAGGTGCAATAATATACTGCACACTATATTGCATTAATGTTACTGACATTACAGTCACACCTTTATATAAATATTTTATTAAATATGTTGTATATATGTATACAACAAACAAACTGTACAGTGCAGACAAACTCATAGCATATATGTATGTAAAATTAGCGGTACATACCAACAGTTCTTGATACACAGCCTACTACATGCAGTTCATCAATGCCATCCTCGCCCCATGCAAAAGATGAGAAAAAGGACAAAAGCAAAACTTAAACCTCTCCATCTACATTTTGACAAATTAGTTGACAGAGAGGAAGAAAGTGGAATATAAACTGTTTTGGAAGGATCAGGAAAACAACATCACGCACGACCCATATACAGTAGGAACAAAACAAACAAATAAACTAAAAAACAAGATGGCGGCTAGAGAGATAAACAGATGCACATTTACACAGTCATTTACAAAAATAAAGTTCAGCTTTCGAAGAACCAGTCAACTGGTCTGCAGGGGCTTGGGTAGCCCAGCATGTAGAGTTCATTATGATGTAGGGAAATTACTGGACTTGCGTCCCAAATTGCACCCTATTCCCTATTTACTGCACTTCTTTTGACCAGGGCCCATAGTGCACAATGTAAGGAATAGGGTGCCATTTGGGATGCAACCTGGGTGTAATGTGGAGGAGGGGACACAAGCCCTAAAGATAATTAAAATGATTTCAGCTCCTTTGTGTATATTATGCATTGTTATAATAGCATCAATGTAGCTTTGTACAGACAAGTGTTTTTAAGTCTAACAAGCAAATGTGCTTGAACATCCTCTAGAAAATAGGGGCTTAAAATCCCAATAAACTCTGGAAAATTATATCAGCAAATAAATCTCTTAATATATCTGCAATTTTAGCAGCATACAGTAGCTTCAGTCTACTTATCAACATTCTAAATCTTAGCTATCCTGAAAATCGTAAATCAAGTTCAGAATTAAGTCAGCTGATAGATTCAGATAATGGTTGATAAATTGCTAACAGTCATGATCAGATCAGGATTCCGAACAGAAAGTGCCAAACTACATGCTAATTCGAGTCCCAAACAATTTCCAAACTCCTCACTCGCATAGGTCTGAACAGTACCTTTCCCTTATCCTATAGTCCAGGGATCATCAACTAGATTCAGCCGCGGGCCAATTTTTTCTTGAGCGGGCCAATTTCTTATTGAGTGGCTGGTCGGGGGGCCGGAACATAATGACAAATAATTTGTAGATTGCAAATTGACCGCAAGAATCCCAAACAGTTATAATATTTAAAACCTTGCTTACATTTGTATACGATCACATCACTCTATTATGCGTGGGAATACTTAGGAACAGATTTCCCAAATTAAAATCAATTGGAGCTGATTTCCTGGTGTTTTTACAGTCTTTTATGTCCAACAATGACAAAAAAAAAAGTTCTTATTTTTGCTCAGAAAACTTGGGGGGCCAAATAAGACCACACATGGGCCAAATTTGGCCGCCAGTTGGGAAACCCTGCCATAGTCCTTTGTGGAAAAAAATGCATGTAAATGGTTCTAGGTATCCCAAAACCTTGATTCTTATGAACACAAGATCCAAAATGACATCAATCACGACCTTTCAGAGGTTCAGCAAGAAGGCCAGCAGAGAATCGATTCGTCAGTGGGATTATTTTTGTGAAAATTAACCATATGGTAAGTCACAGAGAAAAAAACACAAAGCCGGAAAAAGACAAATCGACTCTAAATGCAGTCGGCTGCTGTTGCCGTTGTACTACACAGTAACAACTGTGGTATCTATCATTAGATGTTCTGGCTTTTTGGATACTTTGGTCATTTTATGAATCAATCTCTGTGGGCTGTGAAGGTTGTTGAGTGAATATTCTACTAGGTCTTTATTGGATGTGTTTGGCGGGTGAGACACCTTAGGCCGAGTCGTGACTGGATATATGTTTTTGCATGCTGGGGATCAAGGTCTAAACAGGCGCGTAATTGGCCAAGATGAGAGATACTGGACTCTTCATGCTGAGCTAGGAGAAAATCCTCTCATAATATATCATAGAATATTTAGTTGTTTAAAAAGTTACATTTCTTTTTAAATAATCTTTTTTTTCTTTTTCTTTTTTACAGTGAAAACGTTATAATATAAGCCATCTCTTGCATTGCTTCTGCAAGAACAATAGAACACAATACTAACCTTGCCCATGCTTTAGTTTGCTGAACAGAATGGGGATGCAGCCAAACCTCGAGTAAACGTGAATGTAAAATGGCTGCCGCTGTTGGGCTTGACCCATTCAGTCTGAGCCACTAGCCTGTTGTTCAGAGAATTCAGCGAGTGAGGGACTGTGGCCTACAAGGCCTATAGATATTCCTAGAGCCCTTGCTCCAAAATAAGAATTAAAGAAAAATAGATTTTAGGTTCCTATTTACCGACTGGACGAGGCAGAGCTCACCGCTGGTGGGATCGGATTGTGATATGTATGCACCTATACACCACTTGTTAAAGCATTCTCTAACACACACGCACATCTGTGTCTGTATGTGTGTGTGGGCTCCTCGCATTGACTGCAGTGGGGGTAATTAGCACTTCATCAGGTATGATTGTGTGGGCTATCCTCCAGTGTTTCTTTATCGAGCCCTAAAAAAGCAACACGCAGCCTGAGACTCTGACTCTCCCCTCGACTTAGATGCTGTGTGTGTGTGCGTGCATATCTGTACTGCTCCCCAAACATCCAGACTTCCTAAATGAGTCCCTGGAACCAAGCCACCGGACGCATCTTATTTATTGTGTGTGTGTGTGTGTGTGTTGTGTATGGGCAGAAGAGTGTATTTCAGTGTCAATGTGTCTGTGTGTGTTGAGTTTACATCGGCATGAATGTGTGTATTACAAAACCACACACAGCCCCTGCAAAATGTTTTTTTTTTCTAAGTTACTCAACAAAGAGAAACGTGAGAATAGAAAGAGAAAGAGACGGGAACATACTTGTAAAAAATAGAAGATAGCAGTCAAATTTTTTAAACTATATCTGTACAGCATCTACCCCAGAACATAGCTGGTGCACTGTGGTATAGAAAATAGATATTAATTGCACACACTGCTGCAACAGGGCATATAAGTAGAATGTGTGGTCTTGGGTTACCATCAGCAAGCAAGGTACCACATGTGGCCGTGAAACACACATCATTCTTACGGATCCCATGGTCAGAGTCACTCTTCCTTCCGTTTTGGGGGGAGGGTGTGACCACCATTCTGGATCGATCCACGATTGATGAGTTAAAGAGAAAGAAAGAAAGAAAGAAAGAAAGAAAGAAAGAAAGAAAGAAAGAAAGAGAGATAGAGGAGAAGGAAGGAAGGAAGGAAGGAAGGAAGGAAGGAAGGAAGGAAGGAAGGAAGGAAGGAAGGAAGGAAGGAAGGAAGGAAGGAAGGAAGGAAGGAAGGAAGGAAGGAAGGAAGGAAGGAAGGAAGGACTGAGAGATTGCCTGGATCTGATCCACAGAAGAAAGAGGGTGTAGGTTTGGAGTCCGGTAGGGAAAATCCCTGACTCCATCATGTCCGTCCCTCCCGCCACACACACACACACACACACACACACACACACACACAGAGACACACACAGACACACACACACACACACACACACACACACACACACACACACACACACACACACACACACACACACACACACACACACACACACACACACACACACACACACACACCAGGTGAATTGTGGCTATGTGGGGGACTTAGCAGCAGTAGCAGTAGTAGTAGTAGAAGTAGTAGGCTTGCTGACTGGTTTGCCTCCGTTCATCACTGGGGGCTCGGTTGTGCTTTTACTGGGAGGGACGGCTGTTTTGGGCGCTTTGGTCTCGCCTACATCATGCAACGATGGCTCTCTGTACATAGCAACTGTGAGGGAGAGAGATAAGAAAGAGAAGGGAGGAGATAAGGAGGCAAGGAAGGGTGAGAGGGAAAAAGAGGGAGAAATTAAGAGAGAGGGTAGAGAGAGAGAGAGAGAGAGAGAGAGAGAGAGAGAGAGAGAGAGAGAGAGAGAGAGAGAGAGAGAGAGAGAGAGAGAGAGAGAGAGAGAGAGGAGAGAGAGAGGGTAAGAGAAAGGGAGAGAAAATAAGAAAGGAAGAGAATGGAGGAGAGAGGGAAGATTTTGTTAGTAAAACCCAGAGCAAAATAAGTATTTCTCCTCTTTTCAAATCAATAACCTGTCAAACTAACCACATGGCTCCTTTTTCACTAATGACTGCCAGCATGAATTATTTAATCCGTTTTAAGTCTTGTTGATGCAGAGGCTTCTACTTGTTTTTGGAAATTGTTCCAGACCACACCAAAAGGGGAAAAAAGGGGGAGAAAAATACTAAAAACGGTCCTACACATTCTTTAGCCTGTGGCTGCTGCCATCTCTTCCTCTCCTTTCTACAGACCCCAATCTGAATGTGGCCAAAAGACTTTGTGCATTATGAGCAGTGGGAACATCCCAAATGATCCTGCACTTTACGCTCCCTGCACTGCAGCTGTGTCACTGTCATGACAGTGCAGTACAGATTCCTGGAGGCTTCCATGTTTAAATAATGGACATAAATCAGCCAGGGAGGGGAGGAGAGTGATGTGGGCGTCTGTAGACACACCATAAAGCATCAACATTTCATGGCCGCAAAGACAGGGCTTGTCCCTTCTCCTCTGTGCTATATGCCAACCTGTGAATTATGGATGGGAACGATAAATATAAATGATACTTCAAGGGGAAGATAACCATCCTTCAGTGTAGCGGTGGGTGGTTACTCAGGGTGGGATTAACAGAATAGGGGGCTTGATCAGATTGACTTGTTCCCTCTAAAGACACTGCCGTGACAGGGTCTAGGCGTGGGATGGTCATTCCGAGGGGTGTGGAGGTTGAAATGTGGTATTGTGAACCTGCAGGCGTGTGATGGCTTACATGTTTATGACTTGTGTAAGATTCTGGTGATATATACAGCACATAAACCCTGCCTCATAGGTGGCCCATACATTTAATACGTTTGACACCTCTGACATGTGGCATAAACTTGGTACCAGCAGTCAGTAGTAGGGTTGCAAAGGGAGGGTATATTACTGGAAACTTTTGAAGTTTACCAGTAAACTACCAGAATTTTTGTAACTTTGGCCTTTTTGGGTACTTCAGATTATCACAGGTGTCTGTAATTATCACATGTAAAATACACTGAGTGGAAGCATTAAGAACATGACATGACATAGACTGACCAGGTCAAAGCTATAATCCCTTATTGATGTCACTTGATAAATCCACTTCAATCAGTGTAGATCAAGAGGATGAGACAGGTTAAAGAAGGATTTTTAAGTTTTGAGACAATTGAGACATGGATTGTGTCTGTATGCCATTTAGAGGGTGAATGGGCAAGACAAAAGATCGAAGCGCTTTTGAATGGGCCAGGCGCACCGGTTTGTGTCAAGAACTGCAATGCTGCTGGGTTTTTCATGCTCAACAGTTCCCCGTGTATATCAAGAATGGTCCACCACCCAAAGGACATCCAGCCAACTTGACACAACATAACAGTTTATATAAAAAAAATCAAATAAGATGATTTTAAAATAAGAAATATAATGACAAAGCTGTAAAACATTATCCTAAATAAAAATCCATCAACTTAGTGAATACCATTGGTGTGTAATATGAGGGTTTCAGCATGAAATATCCTTTATATATTTTTTTATTTTCATTTTTTTTACTCTGTCCATTTCTTTGTTGTAAATGTTTTGGGGCCAAACTGGTGGCAGTTGTGAAAAAAGTTGCAGAGTTAATTGAAAATTATGTTATGTTGATTAGACACTTTTTTTATTAATTAGGCTATTTCCTCTTGAACCATATGGTCTATCCACTAGAACCCCATGGACAATATGGACACAGATACAGTGGGGAGAACAAGTATTTGATACACTGCCGATTTTGCAGGTTTTCCTACTTACAAAGCATGTAGAGGACTGTCATTTTTATCATAGGTACACTTCAACAAAAATCCAGAAAATCACATTGTATGATTTTTAAGTAATTAATTTGCATTTTATTGCATGACATAAGTATTTGATACATCAGAAAAGCAGAACATAATATTTGGTACAGAAACCTTTGTTTGCAATTACAGAGATCATACGTTTCCTGTAGGTCTTGACCAGGTTTGCACACACTGCAGCAGGGATTTTGGCCCACTCCTCCATACAGACCTTCTCCAGATCCTTCAGGTTACGGGGCTGTCGCTGGGCAATACAGACTTTCAGCTCCCTCCAAAGATTTTCTATTGGGTTCAGGTCTGGAGACTGGCTAGGCCACTCCAAGACCTTGAGATGCTTCTTACAGAGCCACTCCTTAGTTGCCCTGGCTGTGTGTTTCGGGTCGTTGTCATGCTGGAAGACCCAGCCACGACACATCTTCAATGCTCTTACTGAGGGAAGGAGGTTTTTGGCCAAGATCTCGCGATACATGGCCCCATCCATCCTCCCCAAAATACAGTGCAGTCGTCCTGTCCCCTTTGCAGAAAAGCATCCCCAAAGAATGATGTTTCCACCTCCATGCTTCACGGTTGGGATGGTGTTCTTGGGGTTGTACTCATCCTTCTTCTTCCTCCAAACACGGCGAGTGGAGTTTAGACCAAAAAAACTCAATCTTTGTCTCATCAGACCACATGACCTTCTCCCATTCCTCCTCTGGATCATCCAGATGGTCATTGGCAAACTTCAGACGGGCCTGGACATGCGCTGGCTTGAGCAGGGGGACCTTGCGTGCGCTGCAGGATTTTAATCCATGACGGCGTAGTGTGTTACTAATTGTTTTCTTTGAGACTGTGGTCCCAGCTCTCTTCAGGTCATTGACCAGGTCCTGCCGTGTAGTTCTGGGCTGATCCCTCACCTTCCTCATGATAATTGATGCCCCACGAGGTGAGATCTTGCATGGAGCCCCAGATCGAGGGTGATTGACCGTCATCTTGAACTTCTTCCATTTTCTAATAATTGCGCCAACAGTTGTTGCCTTCTCACCAAGCTGCTTGCCTATTGCCCTGTAGCCCATCCCAACCTTGTGCAGGTCTACAATTTTATCCCTGATGTCCTTACACAGCTCTCTGGTCTTGGCCATTGTGGAGAGGTTGGCGTCTGTTTGATTGAGTGTGTGGACAGGTGTCTTTTATACAGGTAACGAGTTCAAACAGGTGCAGTTAATACAGGTAATGAGTGGAGAACAGAAGGGCTTCTTAAAGAAAAACTAACAGGTCTGTGAGAGCCGGAATTCTTACTGGTTGGTAGGTGATCAAATACTTATGTCATGCAATAAAATGCAAATTAATTACTTAAAAATCATACAATGTGATTTTCTGGATTTTGAATCAATCTCTTGATTCATAAATCCAGTTGAAGTGTACCTATGATAAAAATTACAGACCTCTACTTGCTTTGTAAGTAGGAAAACCTGCAAAATCGGCAGTGTATCAAATACTTGTTCTCCCCACTGTATATAACATAATAATACTATACAGTGAGGGAAAAAAGTATTTGATCCCCTGCTGATTTTGTACGTTTGCCCACTGACAAAGAAATGATCAGTCTATAATTTTAATGGTAGGTTTATTTGAACAGAGACAGAATAACAACAACACAATCCAGAAAAACGCATGTCAAAAATGTTATAAATTGATTTACATTTTAATGAGGGAAATACGTATTTGACCCCCTCTCAATCAGAAAGATTTCTGGCTCCCAGGTGTCTTTTATACAGGTAACGAGCTGAGATTAGGAGCACACTCTTAAAGGGAGTGCTCCTAATCTCAGGTTGTTACCTGTCTACAGAAGCAATCAATCAATCAGATTCCAAACTCTCCACCATGGCCAAGACCAAATAGCTCTCCAAGGATGTCAGGGACAAGATTGTAGACCTACACAAGGCTGGAATGGGCTACAAGACCATCGCCAAGCACCTTGGTGAGAAGGTGACAACAGTTGGTGCGATTATTCGCAAATGGAAGAAACACAAAATAACTGTCAATCTCCCTCGGCCTGGGGCTCCATGCAAGATCCAACCTCGTGGAGTTGCAATGATCATGTGAACGGTGAGGAATCAGCCCAGAACTACACGGGTGTCACGATCGTTCATGAACGAGAAGGACCAAGGCGCAGCGTGATATGCATTCATATTTATTACACGACTAAACACACGACAAAACAACAAACGAAACGTGACGTCCAAGGTAGACAAATAACATACCTCACACGGAACAAGATCCCACAACTAACCGGTGCCAAAAGGCTGCCTAAGTATGGTCCCCAATCAGAGACAACGAGCTACAGCTGCCTCTGATTGGGAACCACCCCGGCCAACATAGATCTGCACATGCTAGATCTAAAACATAGAAATTAACATAGCAACACACAACACGGAAAATACACACCCTGACTCAACAAATACAAGTCCTCAGAGTCAGGGCGTGACAACGGGAGGATCTTGTCAATGATCTCAAGGCAGCTGGGACCATAGTCACCAAGAAAACAATTGGTAACACACTACGCCGTGAAGGACTGAAATCCTGCAGCGCCCGCAAGGTCCCCCTGCTCAAGAAAGCACATATACAGGGCCGTCTGAAGTTTGCCAATGAACATCTGAATGATTCAGAGGAGAACTGGGTGAAAGTGTTGTGGTCAGATGAGAACAAAATGGGGCTCTTTGGCATCAACTCAACTCGCAGTGTTTGGAGGAGGAGGAATGCTGCCTATGACCCCAAGAACACCATCCCCACCGTCAAACATGGAGGTGGAAACATTATGCTTTGGGGGTGTTTTTCTGCAAAGGGGACAGGACAACTTCACTGCATCAAAGGGACCATGTACCGTCAAATCTTGGGTGAGAACCTCCTTCCCTCAGCCAGGGCATTGAAAATGGGTCGTGGTTGGGTATTCCAGCATGACAATGACCCAAAACACAGGGCCAAGGCAACAAAGGAGTAGCTCAAGAAGAAGCACATTAAGGTCCTGGAGTGGCCTAGCCAGTCTCCAGACCTTAATCCCATAGAAAATCTGTGGAGGGAGCAGAAGGTTCGAGTTGCCAAACGTCAGCCTCGAAACCTTAATGACTTGGAGAAGATCTGCAAAGAGGAGTGGGACAAAATCCCTCCTGAGATGTGTTCAAGCCTGGTGGCCAACTACAAGAAACGTCTGACCTCTGTGATTGCCAACAAGGGTTTTGTCACCAAGTACTAAGTCATGTTTTGCAGAGGGGTCAAATACTTATTTCCGTCATTAAAATGCAAATCAATTTATAACATTTTTGACATGAGTTTTTCTGGATTTTTTTGTTGTTATTCTGTATCTCACTGTTCAAATTAACCTACCATTAAAATTATAGACTGATCATTTCTTCGTCAATGGGCAAACGTACAAAATCAGCAGGGTATCAAATACTTTTTTCCCTCACTGTATATGAATGCTTTTTGTTATTCAAATATAAATTACCAAAGTTTCCAGTAACTTTGGAAATTACTAGGTTTGCAACTCTAGTCAGTCAGAATTGTTTTAATTTGCTGTTGATCTCAGTCAGGAAGAAATAATTTCCATATAAAGTAGAAGGTACAGAATTATGTTTTGCAAAGGTTAAACTTGAAAGAAGTCTAGCAGATATAAATGCCCTACTTTTCAGTTCAATATATTGCCTCTCATCACAAAACAACAAAAACTATATTTGTGGCTCTCTTGCTTATACTACTCTAATGCCCCTGAAACAGTTATGTTCTAATGAACACAAATCAGACTCAGAATGTGGTGTTTGCTTACCTTCTAATGGCTTGGGCAGGAAGTGAGCAGCTGGTTTTGTTTTCTTCACTCGATTCCCCTTCATTGCTTGGCCCTCTTTGTTGAGCCCCAGGAACCAAGCCCTCCCTGACTCCTGTTGCCTGTACAGCATCGACGAGTAGATCACATAATAGTTCTCAAACACAGACTCTTTGAACTTACATTCCGCCGTAAAGAGTTCCTGCAAAGACAGAAGACAGGTTAAGTATCATATCTATGTGGCAGAGCCATGGCTAACTGGTAACGGTCCCCGCTCTCAACACATCAGTGTCCGGGTTCAATTCCAGAGTTTACCCAGCAAACCAAAATAGGTTCTGTGAAAGTTGCCAGAACATTCGTTAGGTTGCGACAAATGTTCTTATAACACAAAAACTGTCCAGTTGTGCTGATGATTATACAATGTTTGTATAAAACATTTGCCTGATGTTGCAAGAACGTTCCCAGAACACATTTAGTCTGTTCCTTACCTGGAAACCTAATGAGGATGTTTGGGGAATGTTCTGCTGTGGTTGTTACAGATGTGCACACCATTTTAGTGAATGTTAGGAGAACATTCCAAGGATATTTAGTTTAAAACATTTTCTGAAAATAAAAACATTTATTTCAAAAACATTATTTGAATGCTTTTGTGATGTTATCCTAATGTTAGGTAAAACCCTAACTAGAACTTTAATGGGAATCTTAGCTAATGTTCTGGGATTGTTCCCGGTTTGCTGGGTACACTTCCAACTTTCTCTCCGCTCCACACCTGTATCCCCCCTTGTAATTTCTAATCTGTACAATAAAGCATTAAAAAATCAAGTTCTTAAAAACATGATGTATCTTGTTCTTATAAGAAATATAATTTATGTTCCATTTGGGTTTCGAGGCATAGGTAAAGGTAACACCCTATTCCCCATTTAGTTTGCTACACCTATGTGGTTCACTATCACATATGGCTCTGGGAAAAGAAGTGCACTAGGTATTAAAATATAATTTGAGAGACACAGCCTTTGTGCAATTACCAAGAAACAATTAAACACATGCGAAAAAGCGACATGATACCATTCATTATTCATGTTTGAACATCTAGCCATATCCAGAGGTCACAAAGACAAATCTCACATTTGTTTCATGCTAGCAGTGTACATATTAATGTTACGGAAGGCATAGAAAGTGCCTACCCAGGTAAAGTGTCACCCATATTTCCACATGTCCTGAAGAGTACAAGTGCTGCAGTGCCCTGAGCTAAATCAGCTAAATCTACCAGCAGACAGTCTAACTCGCTACAGTGATGTCTGATAAGTGTGGTGGTGGCAAAATGACACACATGCTTTCTCCTTCACCTTACCCTTAACTTCAGGTGTTCAGGGGTTTAGCATGTTCCACCTGAATACACCTGTTGCAAAGCTTTGACCTAATCACCCCAAAACCAGCACAGTCCATGCTATTCTTCATGTCACCACTTGACACTTGCTTCCCACTAGAAAGTGTAACAAAAGTAGTTTGAATAACCTTGCCTAAAACCTGAAGACTTGTGCTAGCTCCTAGACCAAATGCCTAGATGCCTCAATTCGTTACACTAGCTAGATTATATGTGTGTGTATGTTGTGCTAGCAAACACCCGGGAAAGAGTCATGAAAATACCCTCATTACATCTGTAATACTTTGCGCAAACAACCTTTTAGCTAATCCAAAGACCTCACCATCCTTCACACACACCTTTTTTTCCAATGACAAATGAACACTGGAGCACCAAATCTCTCTCCGCTTTACCCCCATTCATCTCCTTAAGCTGAAGAGAACATGAGGGTAATAAAGAGCTTTCCCGCAATGTCCGCCCCACATGTCTAAAAATAAAGTGTTTTCACTGGGGTGTATTATTAAATGCCTGGTCAGGCTCTGAGGAGTTCACTTAAGGCCTATTCAGTACACCCCCACAAAGGACCTGTTTGAATAATTCCAAAATGTATCCTTCCTTCCTTCCTCCCTCCATTCCTTAGAGTATATTGATCGCTGACATGACTACATAGGTCAATGTAAGAGATCCCACTACTTAGCTTACACCTATCCAGTCATGTGAGATCAGCAAATTATCTGAACGAGTCTGAGCCACAAAAAGGATTAGTAAATTACCGCCAATGGGTCCACATATCTCCTTCCAATGGCTGTTAACAATGGGTTATTAGGGGTTTTGTACCTTATGTTATGTTTATAGCTCTCCCAGCTTAACCCTGGGGATTATTTATGGGGTGAGCGTGTAGTTCCGACGAAGCGCCCCATCACCGAGTAATAGCAGGTTATTAGCGCTGTGTTAAATTACTCTTGTCAGGGCTTAACAACCAGTCAGGAGGAGGGTTGGGGGGGTGGGGGGTGTGTGTGGAACGACTAAGTGACACTTTGGGGGACTTATTAATGACTGGCTCAATCAGATGAAATTGCATTAGCTAAGGCAGGCACAGGCTGGCAGCTGTATTTGGAGAGCTTCTCAGTCTCCTTAATTGAACACTGAGAGGGATTCCGTTGACTGCATACAGACCAGAAGAACTTAACCGGCTCAGTTGGTTAGCGAGAGCTGCTAGTAGCGCTAATGTTGTGGGGGTTCAAAAACGGAAATTCCCCTCAAAAGAATATCTGCTTTATAAGTTAATACATACTACACCTATCCACTGCACTCCTGAGTGGCGCAGTGGTCTAAGGCACTGCATCGCAGTGCTAACTGTGCCACTAGAGATCCTGGTTCGAATCCAGGCTCTGTCGCAGCCGGCCGGGAGACTCATGGGCGGCGCACAATTGGCCCAGGGTAGGGGAGGGAATGGCCGGCAGGGATGTAGTTGATAGAGCATGGCGTTTGCAACGCCAGGGTTGTGGGTTCGATTCCCACGGGGGGCCAGTATAAAAAATATATATAAAACAAACAAAAAATAAAGAATTAAATAAAATGTATAATAAAAACAAATTAATAACAAAAAATTATACAAAAAATGTATTCACTAACTGTAAGTCGCTCTGGATAAGAGCGTCTGCTAAATGACTAAAATGTAAATGTACTATTTTGCACTAAAGGTTAGGTCTACAGCCATTGAAAAGCAAGTGTTTTAATAATGCATAATAACTAAATTACAACAATTAGGTCGAAAATCAAACGCTACCAAACTGTTTTTGAGGGAAAAGACAGAGCAAGCCAAGGGTGGACTTGTGTTGTATATCCCTTGTGTCGCGATTGTAACACTGAGGAATCGACTTAAGACTCATAGGCTGTGTTTACAATGCCACCCTACACTGTAAAAACTAATTTAGCCTTTTAGTTGAAAAATAGTCAATTCAACTGAAATTGTTGAGATAACATAATTTTTTCATGGAGTCAACTAGTAAGAAAATGTTGAGAAGTTGACTCAATGAGTAATGTTGCCCAGTGAATTCAACAATACATGTTGACTCAACTTGAATGAAATCTCTGAATGTCTCACGAATGAATGCTAGAAACTACCGGTATGTGGGCTTCAATTTTGAAATGTTTGTTTCTCGAGTTCCCTGTGGTTCAATTCGGCGGTCATCTAAGCATGAATTTAAGCATTGGGTGAGTACATCACCATTACCACACTTTCAGTCGGTACTAGAAACAGTTTCCATCAATATATGATTTTAAAAGCACTAGCTATCTAGCTAACTGTGTCTTTTGAATTGCTAAGGCTAGCCAACTACCCACTGGGCACAAACTGCTTATGTAATACAGTAAATAGCCTTAACTTTAGGCTATCTTACAAACTAATGTAACATTCAACCTTAAAATGAGTAACACATTGAGGTTACTGTAACTATAAATGTCTTCTTATGTAATCATATAACGTGTGCATGTTCAAGATAACATGCAATCGTCGCACCTATGCTGTAATAATCTGTGCAGAATCTCAAACGGCATTGACAATTTAACGATGGCATGCAGTCACGAACGAGGCTAGTCAAAACATGGGTCGGGACCGGACAGTAAACTCACAGCCAGTAGCTTTTGAATGCATTTTGGCGTTTGATTTCAAGTTCTGTGTTCCTTCGCGGTCTGACATTGAAAGCTAGTGCTGCAGCACTGCAGTCAGCACAGCATTGTGTGCCACACATCAGAGTTTCTGCAGCCCAAACAGCAGTGTGTGTGTCTTGCCAATCATATTGACGCAAATGGAATCACACAGTGCATTAACAGAGAGCGAAGTGCTTTTTCTCTGGATGGGCTTTCCTCTGTTTTTATGCTAGTTAGAAAACCTGAAAACGCATCGCCTCAACAAATCTTCAAGCAAATCATTAGAGAAAGGCACTACACATTATTTCTGCTATAAACACGGTCTGATATGCTCCCAATATGGGATGCAAAGGAGACGATTTTCTGTCTAAATGTGCTAAAAACTATGTAAACCATATTCCATGGCCGTCTCAGTCAGATGTCAACCCAACTGAGCACTTATGGGAGATTATTTTATAATTTATGCCAAGGTGCATTGAAGCTGTTCTGGCTTGTGGTGGCCCAACGCCCTATTGAGACACTTTATGTTGGTTTTTCCTTTATTTTGGCAGAGCTAGAACAGTGTTTGTCAGACCATGAGACATCCCTAAAATCGGTCTCCTCACAAAATCGTCTGCCTACACACTAATATGACCACTCTGTGGAAAGGTGAGATTCTCACAAACACAATTCATCTGAAGGTCCCCCAGTACCAGTTGAAAAAATTAATGGAAGTATATACACTGTGCAACATTTTTAATTTTTTTTATATCTCTCAGATATACTGTAGGACAGACACTTCAGAACAAACTTCCTTTTGATTTTTTTGGAGGGGGACTCTGTTGTTTAATGCATTTGTATGGACTAATAGCAGCAAGGCCAAAAATAATTGGATCAAATATTTTTTGATACTTCAAGGGTTCTTAAAATTCCAAATCAAATAGCAAAACGATCCTGGGTATGACCTTCTAAAAACAATTCCATATAGCTTAGTAGAACCCCCCTCCCCTCCCCTGGCTTAGACAGGGCTTAGACTCTTATGGGTTAAATGGTCCAGGGCACATTTCGTTAGCATTTTGGCATGTTATTCCAGATTTAGAACATTAAACATTTATAAAGCAAACATTATCCATTAGGTCTAGCACAGTAAATACTTAAATTGTTTAAGCATAAGTTGCTGAAGAGTGATTACAATATCTTTTCAGGGA